ACTCGATTTCAAGATCGACAGGTCGTGGTAAAGCAATGCACAATGTATCGGTGTGACCGTGTTTCTGCTGTGCCACGAAGCGTCAAAAAATCCATGGATCTGAGCGACTTCTACGAGAAATATACGCATGCATACGGAGTTCCTATTATCTCTTCCAAGGAAGTCCCAGATAAAGCAATCCGACGAGCATGTTACGTTGTACAAGTTATGCTTGCTGACCGTCAGGACATCAGGGATAGTGTCTACAATTCGTATGGCCGGATAGGAATCATTGGTTTTCTACAGAATACGACAGACGTACCTGAACACGACTTTCTAGATGAATATTACAATACCAGAGCACGTGGTCTTGGTGGAACTATGTATGCGCCGATATCTACAGCTGGAGAAGAAAACATTCTCTGCTATCCAAAAGATTCTTACCACGATGAAGACATCCTCGTTCACGAATTCGCTCACGGCATCCATCGACTAGGTTTAGAACCTATCGATGACACTTTTACCCCGAAATTGTTGGCTTCGTTCGAGGACGCGAGAAACCGTGGTCTATGGAACCATACTTACGCAGCTACCAATTCTCAAGAGTATTTAGCAAAAGGAGTACAGATTTACTTCAATGTTAACGGTGTTCCATTCAAAGGTATTGATAACCAGGTGAACACTAGGGCTAAACTTAGAAGATACGATAGAAAGTTATACAAACTCGTGAGAGAAATATTCCCATGTGGCAATGAGATTATAGACCGGTGTTTCCATGCAGGTGAGACAACTATTATATTGACTGGCCATAGTGAATGATGTACACGTATATTTTCTATGTGAAAATGCAGTGAATGTGACAAACAAAGAGAGAAATGATTTTTATTCTTATGACATCTCAGCATGTCACTACACTTCATAACCATGTCATTTATATAACCCTTGTCACTAAAGTGACAAATGATTCGCATTCTTATGACATCTCAGCATGTCACTACACTTCATGAAAATGCCAATTATGGGTCAGGCTACCTTCAGTCACAGAGAAGACGTGTAGAGCGGTTGTATTGTGATTTTGCTGGTAGTGCACCAACACTTGTTTTAATACAGTTTACATATGTCATATACGTCACTCCACATTACACTACGTGACGTCCTTTTTCATTTTATCGCCAATAAAACATCCTAATGCAGACTCCTATAAATCATATTGTTAATATGGCTGCTTTATTTTGTATTTTATTTCCTACCCAGAGTGTTCTGACCAAGATGTCGAAGAAAATTGTAGAATTTGGAAAGGCGACAATGAATGTGAAACGAATCCTAAATATATGATTACCCACTGCAAACGAACTTGTAATATATGTGATTTTGGAGGACGTGAGTATTCTTACTAAATGTCAGTATTCGTTCCTGCATTTAAGAAGCAATTTGAACGTGCTTTGATCATATTTAGATTTACGTGCCCTGTCGAGGTGAGGAACTCAAGTTAGTGACGTTTGAACAGTGTGTTCTTGACAGCCTTGAATTTCTGATTGAAAACTTAATTTAATATGCCGGCACGGAATCACGTTCCTCGAGTAATGAATTATGTGATGTGCCATTCCAATTAATGACATGTGACCTCGTTAGTAACTACAGATCATTGGATCAAAAGCTGCGAACGTGTCTAATTATGTCATTCTGTCATAGGTGGATACCCTGGTGACAAACCTCACATGAACTGTCAGTCCGATCAAAATTCTACTCCGCAACTCAAGCTAAGTAAGTAAATCTCTCTAGCAGGGACTGTGGTACAACTAATGCAAATGAGCCACATTTTAGAGATTGTAGCATTACCGTGAAGAATAAGTAAATTCACGAAAGCCACGTAATCCCCATATTGTATTTTCCACATCTCATAGGTTTCTGAAAATATTCGGGTCTGTTCACACCGAGACGTGTAGATATGAGACTGCCATTGCTTACCCATGAAATATATTTGGAATTTCAACTAAACAGTGCGCGTAGTGAAGCACTTGCATGGTTCAGTAAATATCTCAGGTACTATTTAGCGCCAATTAGCACAGACGTTTACGTATTATATTCTAAATAACGTATCACCATCTTGTATATTTATTTTACTATCGTCAATTTATTTTTTGATGATTATCTAGACAAAGTAAAGAAAGTCAACAACAAGAAATCAAAGAACCGTAAAAATAATCTAACGAAGGCATCCGGTAAGAAGCACGTGTACATGTATTTAATACGGCCCATTATACTCCCTATTGGATATCTGAGTACTGCATGGGAACAAGGCCGTATACAATTAAACTTGAGATTATTTTGGTTGTAACACACAGTTATGATACCCAGGGTCATAAGTTTAAATCTGTATCGTGTTCATGGATAAACTGCCACTTGGTGTTGACACTTTTGCGGGGTCTGGGTTCACAGAAAGGCAGTGGTATTGATACGAACCAAATTACTCTTACATAGATTGACAAAAAAAATTACAGTATTATTTTTGATGAATACAATTGTAATGTAGCACAAAGGGGAATTTCGGGGATTACTCGCTTCTGCAGTGTAGGGATACCATAAGACCTTATAACGGAACACTGAAGTCATTCACACACCCATGTAGTCAGACACAGTCAGTTTCTGGAGTTGAGCTTCGATGTTCTTCAATATTAAGACACGTGAGACACCCCTTGCTAGGTTATCGCAACCTTCTGTCAAGACCTGCACCTGGTATGACGTCCCAACGTCCACCCTGCTCAATTTCCCCCCTCCCCATTTAAGCGTTGGCGAGAAGTCAGTTCACACCTGTTGGCACATGAATTCACACTACGTGGACAAATAGTAATGCAGGAACAAAGAAATTTGAGTCGGCATGGGTTCCCACGCCTGCTTCCGTTTTCGCAGTGTGGTGTTAAAATGCCAGCATGATGCAAACATGACACAATAATATATTGCACACTGGTTAATAGTTTTCTACACAATAATGATCACGTGATTTATTATGTGAGTAAACTATTTATCAACCAATATAAAATGAACTTAGTCAATTTGTTTGGAAAGTTTATAGATGTACCCTATATGTGTTAACAAGTATAATAATGCATCGTCGTGATGTA